GGCTGGCTGCAGACACCAGCCGGGGAAACAGGTAGGCTGGCTGCAGATCTTCACCCTCACATTCCTCTGACTGTGATACCCCAGTCGCATCCCAAACTCAGTAGCAGACCGCTCGCAGCCTCCGCTCCTTTCCTGCCCACCATCTCCCGGCGATCATACAGATCTCTTCCAACCTCCCTTCCCTCTCCCCTCACCTCATCCCAGCCCCCGGTTCCAGCAGGTAATCCCTGGGAATCCACCAGCCAACCCTGTCAGAGAAGCAAGTAGGCCAGCAAAACAGATAAGCAAGCTTCATGTCGTCGCTCTCCCTCATCTTCTCTAACCCAGCTCCCCAATCTCATCCCCAGTTGTGGCCTCGCCGCACTCTCTACACCCGTTCCCAGGGGACTAAGGAGATCCTGGCAGATTATCTTGTTTTCCTCCCTCCAGCAGAGCCCTTCAGCTCCCATTTCTTAGTTCATTCCCGTTCTTAAGTGTCAGGTCCCAATACCAAGATATGCATTTTGCCCTGAACCATTAGTAGCCACACCTATCAAGATTCCAGAATTCTGTGCCAGGCAACACACAGCCATCACAACCTCCTACGAAACAGAGAGGGCAACAGAAACCAAGGAACAAAACACCCACCCAACAAAGACAAGACTAGATATCAGCGCCTAGAACTATAATCAAACCCAGATGCCGGGACAACAGTGTAAGCACAATCAATACCAGCCAGGACGAAGTCTCCACTAGGGTCCAGCTACCCCACCCAGGCCCTGAGATCGGCAGTACAACTGAAGCATAAGAAAAAGACCTTGAAACAGTCTTTATGAGTGTGATAGAGGTCCCTAAAGAGGAAATGAATAAATCCCTTAAAAAAAATCTATGAACGTACAAACAAAAACTGGAATGAAATAAATAAAATAGTTGAAGACCTGAAAGGAGACATAGAATCAACAAAGAAAACCCAAACTCAGGAAAGTCTGGAAATGAAAAATTTAGGAATTCTATCAGGAACTTCAGAGGCAAGACTCAACAACTAGCAAACAAAAAGCACATCAGAAATAAAACATCCACCATGATCAAGCAGGCTTTATGCTAGAAATGCAGGGATGGTTCAACATCCATAAACTGAAAAACGTGATTCATCATATGAACAAAGTGAAAGACAAAAGCCAGTGATTATCTTATTAGC